GTATTAAAATAAAAGTGAGACAAGTGCAGATTTGTGACTGTTTCCCTACCTACAGTATTATTAGGGAAACAAGCACACAATGAACAAAGTTAGTCTGTGAAACATATCGTTTGCCATAAAATTAGATCTATTCTAAATGAAATTATAACACAATGTCTCCACTGGAAAAATATGATAAACTTTCACCAAACTGGTTTGCACAGACTTTAGAAAAATGCCCTTCAAATTGTCATAATCACAACATATTTAGGGACTTGAGTTACAGAATTATAACTTTTATAATGCTACCAATCAGTTGATGCATGAAAGGCAGCATTAAACTATCAAGAAATCTTTAGCCTGCATCACAGGCTTGCCCAACCTCTGACCCATACGCATTTGGACGGCATGTATTTTCCAGTGAAACAAAAAGGTTCTTTGTTTCACCATTGCCCAAAAAGAATTGAATACAGAAAACAAATTACTTTCACAATGATAAACAACTTAATACTGTCCTGCATAATGGTAATTCTTTCTGCATTTGTAGGCAGATGCTATAAGTTAGAATAAGCTGAGTGAATCTGTTTAATCATAACCTCTGTAAGCTGCTCATCTCTGCAGCAGAAGGCCACTGACTTGCAACTGCAATGGCACTGTGTGAACTATTTGAAAACATTTGTTCAGATAAGCTGGTTAAATGTAATTCAGCCCAGATGTCTTGAGGAAATCTAACTATCTTTATCACACAATATTTTTAAAATGAAAGAGCACAAATGACCACTGACATGTAATGTATGTCTACTGAATCTAGGTTTTATATGACCATTTAGCCAACACTGGAAATAAATCCATAGTGTTACCAACCCACAAGAGTCTGGATATCTGCCCAGATAGATGAATATCAGCCATCCATGGCATATCTAGAACAGAAGGAAAAATATTAAAGAGCCATGTTTTTGGCCCGAGGGCAAAATTTACTTGACAGTTCTATAGTATTAAAAGATTGTAAAGTGAAAAGTTTTGCACATTAGGCCAGAGTGGGAGAGAGGAGGAAATTAGTTCAAGTCAGGCCCTCATGCAGATTATTGTAAGTAAGACCTCTGTAACATATGAAGTAAATTGCTAATTAATTCTATAGTGTCAAAACCTCTAAATCTCTACATGGGATGGGACTCAAGTACTGTATGATGGCTGCCATACTAGCTCATGTCTCACACTAATGCTGATCTCTATAGGTTCTCCTCAGCTAGCTCTACCACCTTAAAAATGGATGCAGGTGGCAATGAAAATGAGGAAGTCTTCTCAAGCTACGGTGCCTGCCTGCTGCCAAAATTACTTCGAGTTATTTGTTATCTAAAGGAATTCAATCCCCATCTGCTTGCCCATCAGCTGAGTTAATTCTTTTAAATAGTACCATCTGTCCAGAGGTGGGTAGTAACTGAGGAGGAGATGCTTCTCAGTAGTGGTGCTCCCTCTGTGTAATATCCTCTCACAAAGGTTCTACCTAAAAAGACTTAAGCTGGCCCTCATCTAGCTACATTTTGAGCATCACCTAAACATTTAGTTCATTAGTACTTCTGCTAAGTCTTTGATTCAAACCTACCAAGGCAGTGTACAATTAGATCTACCCGTGTCACTCGTGCAAGCCAGGAGGTGAGGCTGAGGAGCCTAACGCCGAGGGAGGCCCGGAAGGAAAAGACAAGAAATCAGGCCTTCTCGGCGGGGGCTCCTCGCCTCTGGAATAACCTTCCTCCTGAGATTCGTGTGCCTCCCTTGCTGGGTATCTTTAAAAATCAGCTAAAAACATGGATGTTTCGGCAGGCCTTCCCCCCAGTCAATTCCTGATGTCCCCCTTTTCCCGTCCTCCCTATTGTTTGCCCTATTTTGTTGACATGTTTTTATTATGTAAAAATTGTTTTATATATATATTTCCATTCTGTATTTTTATGTTGTAAGCCGCCTAGAGTGGTCTTAACCGACTAGATAGGCGGGATAATAAACAAACAAACAAACAAACAAACAAACAAATAAATTTTAAAAAAACACCCAGGGAAGGGGAATGCATTTATTGCAATGAAATAAAGTTGCTCTAAAAATATGAGTTTTTAAAATGGGAAACAACTTTCATGTTCCCAGAAGCAGTGAGAAGTTTTTTTCCCTCCTTTCCCCTCAATTCTCCTTTTTCTGGAACTACTGCAGATTTTATTAGTCAACTACAGGTGATAGGTGTGCCATTTGTGCTCTCTCTCGCTCTCTCTGGTCCTTGTCAATATTGCTATTTAGTTCCTCACCCACTATCAAATGTGCAGGTGTCACCAAACTTTGAGGGGCAGCAAACACATCAGCAGACAGAATCAAAATTCAAAACAACCTTACCAGTTTAGACAAGTGGCAAAACAAACAAATGAATACCAAGCAAGATAAAAAAAGTCTTACAATTAGGCAGGAAGACAGGTTCCCCCAGTCAAGACTTACCTGGGGCCCTGTTCGTGGCCCAATGAGTCCTGAAACACAGGAAAGCCAGCTGACATAGTTGGAGTCTCATTCCCAGAAGTGTCCATGGTAGCTCATAAGACCTGCAGCATGCACATCCAGCCACCTAATCAGAATATGGCTGGAAAAGCAGTGGGAGGAACCTTGGCTAGAGGACCAGGGTGCAGTTTTCACCCCGGTCCAGCAAGTATTTAAGCAGCTCCCTGGGTCCTTTCCAGCAGTCTTCTCAGCAACTTCACCCACCCATGCTTCCTTTTATTGAGATTATTTACTGAGAAGTTTATTAGTAATTGAAGTGGCAGGAAGATAGGACTTCAGTGCTTTGTGTGATGTTACTGTAAATTTCAGTTATTCCTTTCTTTGTTCACTACAGTTGAGGGTGGTTTTATGCATAGGTTTTACTCACTGTCAGTGACAGAGGTATTATACAGGCATCAGATCTCTCCCTCAGGGATCCCAAAGTGGGAGATTGACAAGGGCATACCCTATTTAGAAGGGTCACCACAGTCCCCTACATCAGTGTGTCCCCACAGTAGTCTTTCTCCAAGGGTATATCCAACTCTGGTTGCAATCCTTGGCTACCCTGCGGAAGCAGGCTGAGAAGCTGGGCATTGGCTGACGAGTGAGTCATCCAATGCACGGATCCTCTCTTTATGCTGTGACAATACTATCTGCAATTACCAATGAAGTTGAGGTCTTTCGCTATCCACCACTAAACTTATTAAGCCGTTAGTTGTGGTTGTTGGCTCTTCTTGGTGGTCAAAGGGCAGCATGAGAGGTCATCTCCCCTGGGTTGGCAAAATATCAGTTGCACAAATGCAAAATAGATGACAGCTGGCTTGGCAGCACTAAATATTGAAAATACCTACCACAGCAGTTAAAGAAAGGTACTGTAATGAGAAACCAAATTGTACCCAGAGAACAGCAAAGAAGCTAAACAGTCTGGAAAACAAGACCTATGTGGAACAGTTGAGAGAGTTTGGTATATTTGGCCTGGTGAAGAGAAGACAGAGAAGTAATACAATAGTGATACTCAAACAGCTGAATAGCTGTCAGAAGGTGGACAAAATTTGTTTTCTGCTGCTCCAGAAAACTGGACACAAAACCATGGATTCAAATGACAGAAACCATGGATTCAAATGACAAGAAAGGAAGAATTTTGTGACAGTCAGACCTGTTTAACAATGGAACAGGTTATTTAGAAGTGATGGTCTCTTCTTTATTTGAAGTTTTTCAACAGGGGATTATGGGCCATGAAATCAACAAGCTCTTCTCCTGACAACTTGTTTCATCTGCATCTCTACTTTATCAGCCCCTCTTTATTTCCCATTGCCAGTGCCATGTGCAACTGGTAACAAGGAAGGAAAAGACCAATTTCCTTTGTGTTCTCTCTATGGTCTAATTATGCTTCAGAAGGAAAAAAGAAAAGCAATTCTGCTATGGAGGGGAGCTGCTACATTCTGGAGACAAAGTGTCTCCCTTTTATAACCTCCATTTTGGAAAGAGGCGTTTCCTATCCTGTGTTTAACTGTGAGAAAGAGATCTGTGGGAGACTGAAACTTACAGGGAACAATGCAATCTTCAATATTAGCGTTTTTTTCTTCATCATGTGAGAGGGGTACACCAGCACTTCCTGGGTAGAAATGGAAAGGAGCTTTACACATGTGTTCAAAAACAACTTTATTATATTCTCACTGGCTTGCAGAAATAATTTGTAATTACTAAGCCTGGATAGATAATTGCAAATTCCTGCTTCTACACTATCAAAGATGTGAAGTTCTGCAAATAAAGAGAGCCTATAACTATAGAGATCAATTGCAGCTCCAAGACACTATCTGTCTGAACATTAAAAATGTCACCATGCGGAGGCTGTTCCACCCAGCAAAGAATTTGTTTGTGAAGCATCCCTCCTCCCAGAGACAACATCCAGCTATTAAAAAAAAAAACCAGAGCTGGTGCTGGCAAGCTTAAAAAGCATTCAGAACACATGGGAAGCCGCTTCACACAAAAAGCCTGCCACAAAGACCTGCCCCCATGAAGGCTATCTGCAATTATAAATTAGCCCTGAGCCAGGCTCATTGAAATTAGTGTGGCAATACTCTGGCACCTCAGCATTGTTTTTATCACAAGGGAATATATTTATGTGCTCTGCAGCTTATTGACTATATTTGTTCAGTAACTTGAGAAAAGACATAGATATAAAATGTCAAATTACCAAAGCAAAGATTAAAGGAATCTGAAAGTGCTAAAACACTTTTCCTTTCCTTTTTTCTTGTTAAAAATGTAACACTACAAAAAAACTTGACAGCTGTCAGAAGCATTGGAATCTAAAGATATTTGGGTAATGATGGGACATTTTTGTAATAACGAGGTCAGCAATATAGCTTGTACATACAAGGTCATTTTCTTCTCTCAGAGCGCAGTGTTTATTGATTCTAATTAAGCACAGTCTCCTGCAGCAACAGTAGTTAATGCAAAGTCTGGGTCAAAGGATTTCTAGAAATTATACACACACAGTTAAAATTCACCCTTTAAATGCAGGCTTCAAATTATTACTTTCTCAGTTGTTTTTGTGATCATCGCCGCCGCCATCCATTTTACAGGCATCTGCAAACTAAGGAGCATCTTACAAATTTGTGCAGTTCTCAGCTTGGTGTCATATGAAAATTGATCTTAGAAAAAGACAAAAAAATAACTTCGGAATTGTATTTTAATTAGTTTTAGAGCCAAACAAGACACAACTCAGGCAGGTGAGACAGTTTGCTGGGAACTAACAGCCAACACCATACTAGTGCACAGCGGCTCACTGAACAACTGTCCCACTGAGGGAAACATCAACTATGCTGACAATCTACTCAACCACTCTGTAAAGATTACCTACAATCACTGATGACACCAGGACTAAAAGATATGGGCAGGAATTTCTCTAGTTTTCCTAGAGCTACACAACAAGGCTAGAGCTGTTGGTGAATCACCAGAGTGGCAGAAGGAGGGTGTATGATGACATCTTTCATGCCATCCTAAACACACCTGATCCCATTTGATTTTAGAAGCTAAATAGGGTTGGGTCTGACAGCTACATGAAAGGGGTATATCTGGGAAATTCCAGGGATCTCCAATAGGGATATAAAAGAATTCTGTAAAAGACCCAAAAGAGCCACTAGCATTCACAGCTCACAATTCTGAGCTAAATGGAGCAGTGATTTTACTCAATATTAGAGGTATTCATATTTGTGCTTTTGGAATACAACTTCCACTAATTCTCTAGGCAGCACATCCACTGACCATGCGGCCTGGGTAGGTTCGGGTGTTATAGTCCAAAAATAGGCAAACCTCTATCAAAATAAGACAGCTTCCCATGTTCCTCTGACAGGCCTTGTTTTGTTTTGGCTTTTAACTAGTAGCCCCATGCACCAGCTTTGAAGACCGGGACTGCGAGAGAATGTTTAACCCTATGCAAGGCTGACCCTTGTCCAAGCTCCTACTAGCTCACCATCCTGCAAAAACAAGATTCTACCACTACAGCAAACCACACTATCATTAGTCAATTGCTGAGGAGCAGAAAAATGTATCTTACCCTCAAATGAGAAATGTTCTCCTCTGGTCCTATTCTTCTCATCTTTCTTACCACTTTCCTCTGTCACAAGTAACTGTACACACATATTCACATGTCAAAATGTGAGGCCATGAGTTTACGTAACCACAAATTATGACACTCCTTTTTTTTCGGCTTGGGGTGAGTGGGGATGCTTATTTCCATCTTTTTAATACTATTTTGTCTTTCTTACCACTTTCCTCTGTCACAAGAAACTGTACATACATATTCACATGTCAAAATGTGAGTCCATGAGTTTAACCACAAATTACAGTATGACATTTTTTTTTGGCTTGGGATGAAGGGATCATCCCTTGCTTATTTCCATCTTTTTAATACTATTTTTTGTCATCCTTTAAAGTGTCCCCTCAACATGAAGTTCGTGGATGGATCTTATTTTGTAGCAACATAGCTATCACTGCTTTTGTTTTCTCTCCAAAATTTCATCACCAGTATACCTAAAGAAGGGCCTGAAGCATATCAAATTCTGGTAGATGAATTTTAAAAGAAAAATTACTAGAAATCCATATAATACATGGAAAGTAAAGGAAATTATTCACTGTGGTATTAATGGGACTTCCCCTATTAATTTTTCTCTTAAGTTCCAACCAGCAGTGCTTAAAAATGGAAGCAGCACATTTCATTTCTTACAGGGTTTGTTTGCTTTTGGGGGGTCTTTTTGTATTTCCTATGGATCTTGCAGGGTTTGTTTGCTTTTTGGGTTGTTGTTTTTTTCCCTTTGGCCGAAACGGATTAATCGCGTTTCCAATGGGTCTTGCAGTGTTCTTGTTTGTTTGTTTGGGGTGATTTTTTCCCCTGTCCGGGATGGATTAATTGAGTTTCAATGCATTCCTGCGGGAAATGGTGCTTTGACTTATGACCATTGTGTCTAAGGGGCACTGGCCATGTGACCACGGAAGATTGTCTTCGGACAAAACGCTGGCTCTATGGCTTGGAAACGGGGATGAGCACCGCCCCCTAGAGTCGAACACGACTGGACAAAAATTGTCAAGGGGAACCTTTACCTTTACCTTTATGGATCTTGCAGGGTTTGTTTGCTTTTTGGGTTGTTGTGTTTTTTTTTCCTTTGGCCGAAACGGATTAATCGCGTTTCCAATGGGTCTTGCAGTGTTCTTGTTTGTTTGTTTGGGGTGATTTTTTCCCCTGTCCGGGATGGATTAATTGAGTTTCAATGCATTCCTGCGGGAAATGGTGCTTTGACTTATGACCATTTTGAGTTACGACCATCTTCTGGAATGGATTAAGTTTGTAAGTCGAGGCACCACTGTCTTGTCCTCTTCTCCAGAACTGCATTGATTCTGGATTTGGAGCTTTCCCTTTTCCTCTTGTTAGCACATATTCAAGAAATCTGCCCCATATATCATAAAATTTATTATTTTTATCTCAACTTTCATAATCTTTAAAGTAACCTTCTTAAGAAAAGGAAAATGAGAAACAAGAGAGCGTTTCTCAATTAAAAGTACCCAACAACTTTCTATCTCGCTTCTCCAAAAACACAACCTAAACCTAGGAACAGAGTAAAATAAAATATTAAAAGGGGAAGTGGTGAAGGAGAAATATGGTAACAGTTCCTAGAGTTAAGTTATCTGAGAGCCAGCCTTCTGTAAGTAATAAAAATCAAGGATATGGATTTTTTCAATTAAAGCTAATTAACTGTAAATGATACTGAGTCTCAAGGAAACTAAAAGCAAATCAAAAGAGATTAATTTCTCCTGTCTATGTGAAAGCAGTATTTGTACCAGCAATAAAGATTTTGTTTTTCCACTGTTTCTCTTAATAGGAATACAAAGAGAGAACAGAGATTCAATTCAGTCAGTCATCTTTTGGCACATTAATATTTTCCTTTGACTTTTCCTGTTGCTGCTTTGTGAAGTCTGCCTGCATTTTCAGAATTAAATATATTCCACGCTGTATCCAAAAGCATTAAATATGAAGACATGTTCAGACATTCAGCAGCAGCTCAATGTTACTACATATGCCAGCCACACAATACAGACAGCAGATGATCAGCCCCACTCTAAACTTCAGACTCTTCAGGGAAATTGCAAGGGAAATGTAGATGTTGCAGGGTTTTATACAGTACTACCTCTGAAATTCTTGCTTTTGACTTGCCTCCTATCCCTAGATCTTGTGTCTCAATCAACATTTTGAAATACATACCGTATTTTTGCTCCATAAGATGCACTTTCTCCCCCAAGTCTGTGCATCTTATGGAGCAAAGGCGGCGATTTCGCCCCCGCTGGCCCCGTGGGGGGTGGAGAGAGTGTCGCAAGGGTCCAAGTGAGCCTTCCAGGGCCCTTGCGACGCTCCCCCCACCCCCACGGGGCCAGCACGGGCGAAATCACCAGCTTCCAGGTGGGGGGAGTGTTGCAAGGGTCCTGTGAGGCTCAACTCGGACCCTTGCAACGCTCCCTCCACTCCCCCCCACGGGGCCAGTGGGGGCGAAATTGCCCTGGAAGCTGGTATTTCGCCCATGCTGGCCCCGTGGGGGGGTGGAAGGAGCGTTGCAAGGGTCCGAGTGAACCTTCCAGGACCCTTGCGATGCTCCCCCCACCTGGAAGCTGGCGATTTCGCTCCTGCTGGCCCCGTGGGAGGGGGAGCGCCGCAAAGGTCCGAGTGAGCCTTCCAGGACCCTTGCAACCCTCCCAAGCCTCAAAAGAGTCCCAGAAGGTGGCGATTTCGCCCCCTCTGACCCCCGGGGGGGCAGGGTGAGCCTCCAAAGGGTCCTAGGGTGTGTTCCATAAGACGGACCTCTCCATAAGGCTCACCAATTTTTAGGAGAAGAAAACAGATTATTTTTTCCTGTTTTCTTCTAAAAATTTGGTGCGCCTTATGGAGAGGTGTGTCTTATGGAGCGAAAATATGGTATATGAAGGTATAAGCAAACACAATGAAAGAGTTGAGCATCTTCTTGTCATTCATACAAGCCTTCTGTTTCAGAATCCTGATTTCATATTGCGGTTGGTAGTCAAAAGATCAAACCACACTTTCCCATTTCCCATGTAATAGGAAACTGTGGTGTAATATGATGTCCAGCAACTTCCTGAGTCTATTTATGCCTGTTTTGCAGACTGCAAAATGGCCTTTCCTTTAAGAAACTGCTGCTGCTTTAAGAAACAGAACTATAGAGCACATTCAGCAGTGCCATGGATGAGACCTCTTTTTCTACATTTGTGTGCTTGAGATATGGCAGCACAATGACAAGCTCTACACAACTTGTTCTGCACAAGTTAATTCCCATGACATCTGCATGCTATGTGGATGTTATGATTCACAGCTGTAGTGTTGTCAGAAAAACTGCGGACTTCTGTATCATTCACCTATTTTTATTTTTTATTTTTTGTATTTTCTGATTATCATCTCCTTTTCATTTCCCAGGCCAGAGCCCCAGTCAAGCATTCAAAAAAGATTATTTAAAAAAGGAAATGGGAAGAAGTCTAGACCCTGTCTGTCATTCTTTCAATGGGGGAGGGACTTTCTGAGTATGAAGGTTTCTGGTACACATGGAATCTCTCCGTGCACTTTTGGGTCTTGAAAAATCAGGATTCCCAGTCATGTGGAGAGGCTGCACATGCAGCAAAATACCTCCTCTTCAGGCAGTACTTCTTCACCGAGAGACAGCAACAGTGAAGGAGCTGGGCAGACTAATAGGAACCTGGCCTATATATCATTCAGAAATCCGCACTGCATCGAAATTTAATTCAACAATGTGATGGCTATTTTAAAAAATCCTTATAATAATTTGACTCACTAGGGTGGTTTAAGGCTCCGACTGTAGGGCCACAGGTTAGGAGTTCGATTCCCGACTGGGCCTCCTTGATAGGGCCACAGGTTAGGAGTTCGATTCCTGACTGGGCCTCGACTTGATTATCCATGGGGTCCCTTCCAGCTGTGCAGTTAAGATTATGAAGATGATGATTAAAGAAAAGAGTGGTAAAACTCTTGAATTCCAGTTAACTGGTAACATGCTGATTTTGCTGAAATCTGAACTAATCCAGCACCATAAACAAGCCCTCACCTGCATTCTCCTTTTGTATTCTCCTTACTATGATTTATCAAAAACCACTGGAAATTACATATAAGCAGGCATCAAACCACAGAAGAATGTTAATATATTTTTAAAAGCTCTGGATTAATTAAACCTGATTTGAAAAAGTGCAGGAATAAAATTTAAACATATATACACTACTTCAATGAATGGAAAATCTTTAAATATTTGAGTCTTACATTCTCGAGGGATAAGAACACGTGCAAATACTGGCACTACTTGTAGATTTTTCTAGATGAAAAAAGCCAAATATATCACTACTGATTTGTCTGATAAAGTGCTATTCAATGAATACTCCTGCCCTGTATATTTTATAACAAAGAACCTTATTCATAATTTTAAGAAGCCTCTTATTTACTATTCATTGTGCAAACCAATATGAACTCTTAAGAATTGTCTCAGGCTGATCACGGGATTGATTACAGAACCAATCGTCTTTTTGTTTTCATATATAAATAAGACACACAGCACTTACTGAAGAGCACTGTTCAGAAATGCTGTTATGATGCCTGTATGCATACAGTCAGTTTAGGAACTGACAAGGAGCCCTTCTGTCCTATGGTGTACCAGGTTTGGTTTAGACTGTGGCTCAGCTTTCTGCTTTCAGCCTTTCCAAAGGGGCAGCCATGCTAGTGAGTTCTGTGTGGTAGCGAAAACAACAAAGAGCCATAGAACAACATAATCACAGAACAGCGGAGCTGGACAGAACCCACAAGAATCATCTAGTTCACACCTTACAATGCTGTACAGAAATCCAAACTGAAGTGTCTCTGACAGATAACCCACCTCTGTTTAAAACTTTCCAATGAAAGAGGGTACAAAACATTTCAAGGCAGTATGCTCACTATGAATTTGACACCACCAGTATTGGTCCCAATCACTGAAATAGTTAGTGGTAAGGATACCTGCTCCAGTCCCCATATGACAGCCCTTTGGATAGCTAAAGACAGCTGCTATACTCCTCCTCT